GAGCAGGGAGCCGTATGCGGGGCTCGATCCCAGGACCCTGGGATCATGACCTGAGCCGAAGGCAGACGCTTAACAGCTGAGCCACCCAGGTGCCCCTGAGAACCACTGTTTTAAAGGAACAATATTCCCTATGTATCCCCCCCCACACACCATATTGATTTAAATTATGTTTATTATGATAGTGTTTAAATATGTACAAACTGACAGCAGGTTGAAATTCCTTATGTGTGTGTAGTTGTATATAAAACACATTTATAAATGAAAAACCTCAAAATCAGTAAATTCAAGACAACATTAATATGTATATGAATGATATTTTCCTGAGGCTTTTGTGCATGCTGTTCCTTCTGTTTAGTCTTTCCCACCTGTATCAGTCTAGGCCCAGGCAGGTGATAAAAGCACACGGTAATGTAAACAGGGAATGTTTCTTACAAAGAATAAATAGTTAAGCTGTGATAGAAGAGTCACTGCAGAAACTGTGGGATCTAGGGCTGAGGGAGAGTCCCCAAGGAAGGCTGGGGTTCAGACTTGCTGAAGAAGGTGGAGTTGCAGAGCACCTCCGTGATTTGCCCATGTCAGTGAGCCTGCAGTTGCCGGGCAGCAGGAAGCAGTCCTCCAGAGCACAGGACTGGCTCAGGAAAGCCACGGCCAGTGGCCGGTCACAGGGCCACACAGGCAGCAGGCAGCGGGGCTCTGGGGGCAGCCCTCCTGGTGGCAAGCTGCAGCTGATGGTCAGCCACGTGGATGTGCTGCGGAAGTAGGAGTATCAGCGCAGCAGGAGGTGTGGGGCACGCAGGGTCCCAGTTGGAAGGGCTGTGTCATCAGCAGGACCACAAGAGATGAGTGTAGGGGTAGGGCAAGCAGCAGGAGGTCCGGAGCACACAGTGTCTGTTGAAAGGGTCGCGGGCAGATGACACTAGACCATGTGGTGCAAGGTTGCTGAGGGACTGCCCTTTCTGGCCCATGGCTGGAGTCATCACTGGTGTCCTCACAGCTACATGCTCAGTTGTGCTCCCTGGGAAGGAGAAAGACTTAAAGGAACTGCCTGTTTACCGCAGAGCGTGTGTTGAAGGTTGAATTTGGAGTTGCCCAGCAGTAAATTGGTATATGACCCACACCACCCCATGCCGGCGAAATGCTCATGTAGTGTTTGAGCTCTAGCTTACAGGCTGCCTGACCCTTCTAAGTGGTGTTACTCTGTGCTGTGCTCCCCGCATCCTTAGAGTAGCTCACCGTGCTGTGTAGGAATCTTTGTTTAAAAACTAATTGCTCTTGGGGTGCCTGGATGGGTCAGTTGGTTAAGCGTCCGACTCTTGATTTCAGCCCAGGTCATGATCTCAGAGTCTTGAGATCAAGCCCCGCATTGGGCTCCACACTGAGCGTGAAACCTGCTTAAGATTCTCTCTCTCCCTCTCCTTCTGCCTCTCCCCCCACCCCAATGCTCGCTTGCTCTCTCTCTCTCTCAAAAAAAAAAAACAAAATTAGTTGCTCTTTGAGACACCTGGATGGCTCAGTCGTTTAATGCATCTGACTCTTGATCACAGCTCAAGTCTTGATATCAGGCGTGAGTTCAAGCTCTGTGTTGGACTCCACGCTGATCGTGGAGCCTACTTAAAAAAAATTGCTCTTTCAAACAAACATATCATGTAGGAATCTTTATTTAAAAAATAATTGCTTTCTCTTGGCAAGGATGCCCATTCCCACTGTTAGTGGGAATGCAAACTGGTGCGGCCACTCTGGAAGACAGTGTGGGGGTTCCCCAAAAAGTTAAAAATAGAACTACTCTGCCATCCAGCAATTGCACTACTAGGTATTTACTCAAATACTAGTTTGAAGGGTTACATGCACCCTGATGTTTATAGCAGCATTTTTAGTAGTAGCCAAACCATGGAAAGAGCCCAAATGTCCGTTGAATAAAGAAGTTGCAGTGTGTGTATGTACACACACACACACACACACACACACACACACAATATGGAATATTACTCAGCCATCAAAAAGAATGAAATCTTGTCGTTTGCAACAACGTGGATGGAGCTAGAATATTATGCTAAGCGAAATAAGTCAGAGAAAGACAAATCCCTTATGATTTCAAGAAACAGATGAACATGGGGTGGGTGGGGGTAAGAGGCAAACCAAGAAACAGACTCTTTTTTTTTTTTTTTAAAGATTTTATTTATTTATTTTAGAGACAGAGCACAAGAGGGGGGAGCGGGAGAAGGAGAAGCAGACTCCCTGCTGAGCAGGGAGCCCGGTGCGGGACTCGATCCCAGGACTCCAGGATCATGACCTGAGCTGAAGGCAGTTGCTTAACCAACTGAGCCACCCAGGCGCCCCAAGAAACAGACTCTTAACTATAGAAAACAAACTGAGGGTTGCTGGAGGGAGGTGGCAGGGGATGGGTTAAATGGGTATTGGGGATTAAGGAGGGCACATGCTATGATGAGCACCAGGTTTTGTATGTAAGTGCTGAACCACTAAATCCTACACCTAAAATTAGTATTATACTGGGTGTTAACTAACTGGAATTTAAAACTTGGGGGAAAAAATCTAAAAAAAAAAAAAAAATTGGTTTTTCAAGCAAACATATATTTACAGAATGCTTGAGAATCACCTCCAAAGATTCTGATTTGGTTGGGCTAGGGCAGAACCCAGGAATCTTTGTGGTTTTTTTAAAGATTTTATTTATTTATTTGACAGAGAGAGACATAGTGGGAGAGGGAGAAGCAGGCTTCCCACCGAGCAGGGAACCGGATGTGGGGCTCCATCCCAGGACCCTTGGATCATAACCTGAGCCGAAGGCAAACACTTAACGCCTGAGCTACCCAGGTGCCCCAGGAATCTGTTTTTAATAGGTAGTCGGGAGGATGCTGACAGTGTGGCCCCTGAGACCACAAGGAGAGATGTGGGTCTGGGGCTGGACTGTAGGAACAGTGTCTTACTCCATTTTGTCCCCTTATTGCCTAACTCGCTCCCTGCTAGAAGCATGGTGTTCGACACGTGGGCGGAATGAGCGACCCCGGAAGCACGGACTCGGTCAGGGCCACCCCGAGAAGTGGTGGCCCTAGAGAAGTGCCCCATGTTTCTTGCCCCTTCTCAGAGTGCCCTTTAGAGTACTTCGCACGAAACCCAACCTGACCTAAAACTCCCTGCAGCTAATGCTTTTTTGTTGTTTGATTTTAAATGGACCTTATACGAATGCCACCTTTCTTTGTTTCATAGGGAGAAAGAACAAGAAACACAAAAAGAGGAACGTTTGATGGAAGAAAAGAAAAAGAAAAAGCAGGAAGAAAAGAAAAAGAAGGAAGGTGCTCAGAAAAAGGTTTGGCTGGCATTCCTGCTTCACTGCCTGTGATCATTGTGTGTCTCATTTGCATTGTCACAGCCATTAGGTTAGAGTTCCATTTTATGACCTCAAAATATCAATGTGCTAAAGCTATAATTAGCAAAAAATAGATGTTGTGCTAGCGAAATAAATACAGAGTGACAGCCACAGAATGTCTTTCTTAAGGAACTACAAGTAGTAGAGCTGTGTTTTAAAGAAGTCTGATTTTTGTTGTTGGTGATAAAGAATGTTTGTGCTATTCCACTTACTGCGAACTGTCCAGAACAACCATGTCTGAGAAATGAGGAAAGGGGCCATGTAACTGATTTTATTAGGAAAGCTAGAAATATTTTTGCAGGTTTGGCAAATGTTCTTTTATAAATCCTATTGTTATTAAAAATTAAAAGTCCTTCTGTAAATCTTACCGTCTCACTTAAATCTTACCTCATTTAATATACCAAGTTAGGCAATTTTTTGTTGGTCTTGCCTAGTTTAACATACCTTGTAATTTAAACTGTGTACCTTTTAGTTTATATTAAAATACAGAGCTCTGATGAGCTTCCGGATAGATTTTTTTTTTTTTTGGCCTTTAGATCAATATCGGCATGTAATAGCATGTAGACAATTATACATTTTCCCTGTAATAAATTTTAATAAATTGAGCAAAAACTTGTTTTTAAAATTTCCAGTATTAAAATCTGCTTATAAACTTTCATAGATATGCACATTCTACACATTATTATTCCTAAAGAGTTTCTGATTTTTTTTTTTTCAGGCTGCTGATCAAAAAACCAAAGGTAAGTTTATTTTATTTGGGGGTGCTACATTGTATGGCAGCACCACACTTTTTGTGATGAAGATGACTTTTATTTTAATTGATAGTTAAAAACAAAGAATCTAACCCTGGCTTTGAACCTTTTGAATCTTCTTTTTATCATTCACTGTGCATTTCTTCATTTATCACTGGTTTCACATCTGCACTTCATTGGCATTGGTTTCATCTAAAATGCCTAAAGAATGTTATGTTTGCTTTCTGAACAATGCTTTTTACTTTTCCTTTGCTTTGCTTTCCACCAAACAAGGACTAAACTGATAAAGGTGATCCAATTTGAATAAGAACAGCCAAAAGATACTGAATTTTTTTGAAGCTTCCAATTTCTCTTTGCCGATTGTATAACAAAAAGAGGTATATTCTTTCTGTATTCCCTCTTTGCTTATTGATATATAGAAGATTTTTTTTTTTTCTAAGTCGAAAATTTACTTGTTAGTGTCTTAGCGGGTGTTGGAAACACAAGTAGTTCCCCCAGGAACAGAGGCGTCCCTGGGGTTTGCTGGAGAAGGGGCACAATGGCAGCAGCATTGGGAGCTTCTTCACCCTGTGCTTGCCCTGGTCAGGGGCTGTGCGGGGAGACGGAGCGTGTGCTCAGGAGCCACGTCCGCCAGCTCTGTTAAATCTGGGGCCAGTTACTTGATTTTTCCAAGCTGCAGGTATCTCCTACTGAAAATGAGAAAGCTGGTGAGTGGGCAGCTCCCACCTCAGTAAAGCTCCTGTGAAGATTCAACGAGATCATGTATGAAAAGGGCTTGGTGCCCAGCACATAGTTAGTGCTTGGTAAAAGTGAGCTAGAATTAGTTGTTAGGATTTTCAAGATTCTGCGGGACGCATGTACACGGTGTGCGTGCAGGCACGAGTGCCAGAGAGACTTAGCAGCGTGCTGTTTGGGTGGTGCCACCACGAGTACTCTGCTTTGGTTTGGCATCTTGGGGTTTCCAAAGTAAAGTTTATGTATGTGACATCATTCGAACTTCATAACTGAGCAGGCCAGGTGTGAGGTGGCTTGAACCGGGCCTTCTGACCCCCATGCAGTGGGCCTCCGGGTGCCGGCACCAGGGTCACAGTAAGGTGGGATTTCGTGTAAAGTAAGTATTAAAAGGCAGCCCAGTTCCCAGAAAGGACATTTGTCTCTCACTCTCAGAAGCAGTGTGAATGTATAGCACACTTTTTCAGAAGGTCCAGAGGGTTGTGGTACATAGTTGTGTTAGCAGTTATGATCTTGAATAAGGAAGAATGGTTTCTTCCACTTGCATTTAAAACTACGGGATTGTTGTTCTGAGTCATTTATTTCCTTTTTTTTTTTTTTAACATTCTGAGAAGTTTTTATAACCTGATTCAATACCAGCCGTATTGTTGTCATTGTCAATGTTTTCTCTTTGCTTATGGTCGTATAATGATCCTGCCACACTACACAGAATTATTATTTCCCATTACTGTTCTGATGAGCATTTCCTTGCTTACTCCAAAGTCTACTGGTGTTTTCTCTTCTCCTTTTATCTTCTCTAAATTACTGCTCCTTTGGGTCCAATTTGTCATCAACTGTACTAACTATAACTAGCCTTAGCACACATAATAATAATAATGATTATTAATGTCTCCTAAACAGAAAAAAAAAGCTTTTTAAATTATAAATAATCTAACAGTGCTGCTAGATAATTCATTAATGAATATTAGCAGTATCAAGGTTTAAATTTTTCTCAGATGCTCCATTATTTCTGGGTCGAATCAAAATTAACTGCCTGCAGGAAGGTGGTTCTGAATTTCTGACTGGACATGCGTGTTGGACAACACAGGCTGGGCCTGCTGCTTCCCTTAATTAAGACTCCCCCATCCCCTGCCCCTCAAAGAGCTTCACTGAGCAATTTGAAAGCCTTTGTGTGAGCCTTTCCACAAAAAAAATAGTTTCTTGTAATTTCTGCTAAACATTGTCTTTGCATTATCAGGGACTCAAGAAAGAGGTAGCTGAGCACCACTACTTGTTATGCTTTAGTGAGACTCGAGATGCTCTCAGAGTTGTGGGAAGGCAATCAGATGTAATCTCACCTATATATTATATTTCTGCTGTGGAGGACCTGGTATCTGAGTGTTGGACACTGTATAATGGGTTTTGCTTCGGTCATCAGTAATCTCCTTTATTTTGGGCACTGCCCTTAATTTGGGCACAGATAATAGTAGCTTTATATGTGATGTGATGACTGAGCCTAAATTTTCCATATTGTTTTCTGGGTTTTTTATGGATTTAATTTTTTTTAAGGATTAATTATAATACCCATAAACGTGAAGTAATTTAATTCATTGGTTTTGGCCAGATTTTCTAAAGTTCACAAAATAGAAAGATAAGTTTTCATACAAAAAGCTCAAAGTTAATTATATCATGTATGAAAGCAAGTATCTTGATGACCCAATATGTCTCAAACTCCATATGATTAATGCTTTATGATTTTGAGTCATATACTTTTATAAATTCACACATTATGATTAGACTCCTAATCTTGCTTGAAAGGACTATAAGTTTTGCAGTTGGGTATTCAACTTTGCCATGCATTCAATTTGTAATGCTAATTTTAAGAAAATCTTTATGTGCTTTTGTTAATGTAAATCAGTTGAAACCATATTTTTTCAGTAGCCTTACATTGAGTGATAAAGGTTTTGGGGTCACAGATTATTTGCACTGTGCTGTATTCCTGTTAAGGCTCATTCTATACATGGTTTTCTCAGTATGAATGAAGGTGAGCATTGAAGTTTAAAGGGTGCCTTCCCAATTTCATAGTCAGATCTAGATGCGAATGAATACAAGTGAGAACCCACTTCTCTGTACTTCGCCAGTTAGGTGGCACTTTTTTTTCTTTTTAGCAGAGTTGGCTGAGTGCTATTTGCTCAGTCGTGAGCTATTTGCTCAACACAATATTCAGCAGTTAATTTTTATAAGGCATCACATCTCCTGAATTACACTGTGTAATAAAGTTGGCCAGATTCCTTGAGTTTACATGTATCCATGTTCACATCCACATAACCAAAACAAATATTATTTTGACTATATGAGTTACCCTTAGAAGCAATAGCTAAAAGTCTAGTTAGTGTGCTTCGCACAGTGTATTTTATAATATATGTCATTTTGTTTGCCTGTCTGAAAAATTAATAAAATCTTAGCGTTTGAAGCATTCTTAGAGATTCTCCAGTTCCTTCATTGGTTTGGAAGTGAGATTCAGAGAGGTTAGTCTGCACACGTTTTGACAGCTAGACTTAGTGGCAGAACTAGAATCCTCATCTGGTGGCTGTCAGTTAAATATTTTTTCTACTGTCATATGAAGGAGACATCAATATTGTATATCCATTATCAGTATAATCATTCATCTTAGGAAGTAACTTAGGATCTTTTCAAATAAGGCTGAAAGAAATTCCTAAGAGATTCATTATGTGAATTCTTTATGGGATGGTATCTTACAGGATTTTAAATATTAGATGTCTTTCTTTAGCCATGTTGCTCTATGTTTAAAGTAATTATTTAATTTTACTGTTAAATCCCTGACAGAAAGAAGATATAATACATTAATATTTTTTCTATGGGAACAAAAGAAAGTATATTAAGATGTGGTATTTTTCCCCTAACACATAGGCAACTTAAAAGGATAAAAATTACTGGAAAAAGAAAACAGCTAAGCAGGTACATACATATAAATTCTTCATTGAATTTTAGAAGGAAGGAAGTATAAATCCACTGGTGGCAGGGAGGCAACATAGTGCTCCTGTTACAAGCCCTTTAACAGCATCTTTTTTTTTTTTTTTTAAGATTTTATTTATTTATTTGACAGAGACACAGCAAGAGAGGGAACACAAGCAGGGGGAGTGGGAGAGGGAGAAGCAGGCTTCCTGCAGAGCAGGGAGCCCGATGTGGGGCTCGATCCCAGCACCCTGGAATCATGACCTGAGCCACCCAGGCGCCCCCAACAGCATCTTCTTTTATTTTTTTTTTTAAGGATTTTATTGGGGGGAGAAAAGATTTTTTTTTTTTTTAAATACTCTCTACATCCAATGTGGGTCTTGAACTTACCCCAAGATCAAGATCCACATACTCCCAACGACTGAGCCAACCAGGTGCCCCTGAAGTTGGATTTTTAAAATTCATTTTTCTTTTTTTTATTGAGGAGTAATTTATAGTCAGAAACGTACAGGTTATTATCTGCACAATTCAGGTATAAATATAAAAAAATGGCATAAATAAGTGGAGTAGAGTACATTGTTTTGTGTCCAACTTCAAATAATCCAATAGCCCAAGGTGGGTGTCAAGCTTAAGGGATTCTCTTCTTATTTTATTTTTTTGTTATTAACATATAATGTATTATTTGTTTCAGGGATACAGGTCTGTGATTCATCAGTCTTACACAATTCACAGTGCTCACCACAACACAAAACCTCCCCAATGTCCATCACCCAGCCACTCCATCCCTCCCACCCCCTCTACTCCAGCAACCCTCAGTTTGTTTCCTGAGATTAAGAGTCTCTTATGGTTTGTCTCCCTCTCTGGTTTCTTCTTGTTTCAGTTTTTCCTCTCTTCCCCTATGATCCTCTGCCTTGTTTCTCAGATTCCACATACCAGTGAGATAATATGATAATTGTCTTTCTCTGATTGACTTATTTCGATTAGCATAATACCTTCTAGTTCCATCCACGTCGTTGCAAATAGTAAGATTTCTTTTTTTTTTTTTTTATGGCGTAATATTCCATTCCCCATCTTCTTTATCCAGTCATCTGTCGATGGCCATCTTGGCTCTTTCCACAGTTTGGCTATTGTGGACATGGCTGCTATAAATATTGGGGTGCAGGTGCCCCTTCAGATTACTACATTTGTACCTTTGGGGTAAATACCCAGTAGTGCAATTGTAACAGCATCTTCTTGAGGGCCCTTCTGCTAAGTCTCAGATAAAGCAGAAGTCCACGTCTCTGATTAGGTTAACTAAACTG